CTGCCTCTGATAGGGTGGCTAGAAAGAACCCCAATCTCGGGTGGGCGAATCTAGTGTGGATAGGCGCCGTAGGAAACGGGATGACACCGCGCAACAAGTTGATGGTATCGGAACTCCCAGATCAGCAAGTGATTCAAGTTTCACGGGCTTCTGGAACAAGTTGCAGATATCCAAGACGCAGGACAGTTAAGACAAGCACGACAGAAAGTTCATCAAGAGCAGAGAAGGGGGAGGAAAGTCGGCACCCGTAGTGAGTATTTCACGAGCATAAGAGGGGATGGATGGCACTATCGGACGAGAAGGGAGGAAAGCGAAATGATAGGTAACGGATACTCTTGGGACCAGTCAAGCAGGTATGCAGTACTTCAGCCATGGTTATTCAACAGAGCAAATTAAGGTGGCATACCGTACCTAGACAAGAGAGTGGCCATCACCCGGGAGTAGCGTAGACATGTACTGCATACTTTGGCCAGAGGACAGAGGACAGAGGGCATGGCGACTGGGCGTTACCGCCGCCCCCAATCACCATCGCAATCAACACGTCCAACAGGTCCAGCCTGCCGGGATGCAATGGCGACTATCTCGACGAAGTTGCGGACAACGGCTGAGGATGGGGGGTGAGTTGGCCCAAAGAGCATAAGAGACCGGGTACTGGCCGGGGGATGTGGGCAGGGGTCCCTCTCGGCGACGAGCGGAGAGTTGGAGAGACGGCTCTGGTTGGACCAGCAGCTGGCAAGGGAGAAGCCGGCGCCAGAGGACAGCGCTTCGCAGTGACGCTAAGGCACCCTGGTCGCCGATCCTCACCTTCTCATAGGCCAAGCCCGTCCGTGTGCTGCATGCAAGAGCTCGAGCATCCACCAATCACAACGCCCTGGGACGTGATGTCGCCAACCTCGTGCAGGCTCGTGCAGACTCGTGCATGCCATCAAGTTGAGCCTGGCGGTAAAGTACATCGGAGGTGTATTACACCACGTATACTACTACGAGGTCCAGAGTGCGGTGTATGTAGCGTAGTAATGAGCCTAGCCAAGACGATCTTTCACTTCCGTCCTTGCAGATTCGAAATCCCGCAAAATTACCCAATTCCCAATTCGAGTTGTTCTCAATACATAGGTACTTATAACTTGTGCTGTTTATAGAACAGTTCATAAGATTTTTGAAGCCTTCCGTTTGTGTGGTATCACAATATGCACTAGCAAAGTGTAGGAGGACGACACGACCCTACAAGATTTAAAGTGTACGCTAGGACACACTCGATGCGGCCGTTTTCATGGTTCTGGCTGCCATCTTTCGTCGTTGTTGTCGGCCGCATAAATAATTGCCCGAACCGCATTTTCAGACCTAATGTACATATAGTATACTGTACTATAACAATCCCAGTACCAGCATCTCATTCCGGCCACTGTTCTCAGCGTTCGGTAAGTGGCAGGTTGCCTTGGGGTCTGAGAATCTGTGTACATGTACGCCGAACTCAAGCTGCCCAAGACACACGTATATGTGTACGTATAGCATACACACCATTAAGGTATTTTTAGATTGCCATTGAAACGCAGAGTCCAATAGGGTCATACTACTAGTGGTAGCTTGGGTGTGATGTAGTAGTGTATTACGCTATCAGTTTCCCAAGCGGTAGTTCCCGTAATTGTGGACGCGAACACCGAGAGACGTCGCTGGGCCAATGGGAACAAGTAGCACGAGGCTGAATATATATTTAACCTCGTGCAACGTCATTTAGGGGTAATTATTCGCGAATATTGTCACTCTAGTGTCTCTGATCTCGAGATGAGGGTGGTGGAGGGTATAAAGAGCCACATACTACCGCCTGGGTTCGTGCTGACTGTGTTGAGGAGCTGTACGACTTCTTTCATGTAGTATATTCAAAACGTTCCAGAAGTTCTATGAAACCCTTGGATGTAGAGTCATTAGCGAAATAAGATAGTATTAAACACTTCCACTTAGATATATCGACATTATATTATTAGGGCGTAGGTATAGGAGAGCCTGCCGCTGCGGTAACTCGAGCGCCCTTACCTTCGTCCTGTGCCTTCTCCCGTACTCTCCCCCCCCCCCTATCTCTCTCATTTGCTACTTCTTTTCGTTCACTTTTATCTCATCCGCCTCTTCCTTTGCTTTATCTACTGGAATCTAGGCTCCTTGATGCCATATCAAAGTGATCACCTAAGCGTCGTGACATAAAAGTTCCCGTCAGATTGTGCGAAGGACTAAGCTTTTCTAAAACCCTCGCAGATATAAAATCTTACGAGGGTATTTCAAGTGCTATATCACCTGCTGCTTTCCTGTTTTCACCTCTAGATGTATACTACTCATTGTAATGATTAAGGAGAACGAAAAAAAAATAAAGTAAGCAAGCTCACTCGGAGGTCGTCATCGCGGATCGCTATAGCTTTCCCGGCGCAACGATCGATCTTCGTACGCCCACCATATTTTTTCTGAGGGCCTTATTCTCCTTTGTGGCATTGCTATTCCTGTTGGATCCGTCTTACGAGCCTTGGGAGGGTTTGTAGAACGAATTTTGGCTATAAGTCAGCTGCTATATGATTTAGATACGTCACTACTAACGACAGTTCGGCACTTGCCGTTGCTTTTCTCAATGTACCACTCACATTACTAATGCAATCAGATCGAGGCTGAGACCATCTAACATCCACCACCACCCCTGGGTACTGCAGCCTCGCTGGAACATCCTTTAGCTCGTATTTGCTTGACACCTCATCGTTAAGCTCGTCAAGATCTAGGCTATCTCCGTTGTACTTGTAGGATAGATTTAGATCATTATTGTCACTTTCTGTCGTAACATCGCTCTTAACAGAAGTACTTCAACACCCGTAATTTCTTCGGCTACTTCTTTGCTGTAATCGTCGGTACAACACACCCCAGAGCACGTATTCGTTTGTACTTTCCCCTACCACCTTTCTTTATGTAGAACATGAGTTCTTTCATGTGTCCATCTATTCGATCCCTCAACCCTTCGTAGATTGCCGTAAACATCCGAAGCTAAAACTAGGTCGCTCACTTAGTTCCTTAGCCCCTATTATTAGTAGTATAATTGTATCTAAAAATGATACTAGCTACGATTATGCGCTCAATCAAGAACACTAGTTCTTCACCGAAGACCGTCTTCGAATGCCATACTCAAATCCTCGTCATCTTCTACCTACTGGAATGATTGCTTATATTTGCCTAGATAGAGCTTACGGCTAGATATGTCTTGATGTGCTCAGCTCTTTCGATTATTTAGCTCTTCTTCTTCTTCAACGCATCACTACCCCCCCTTCGGCCACCGGCTCCCCGCTTGTTGTGGAGAGGAGGCGCTAGACTGCCGTCGTTTTAAATAAACATAAATGATTGTCTCGGTCAAAAGCTACCGTCCCGGAGTGAATAGATAGCCCGTAAGCAGTCACATAGTAGGTAGAAAAGGGGTCAGTAGTCGTATATGTGTGGGTGGGTTGGTTAATTGGCCTCTAGGGCTTTCCCAATATCAGTTGGGCTGTCAGAGGTTATTGTCCCGGAGTGAATGGGTAGCCCTACGCAGTCACATAGCAGGTAGTAAAGGGGTCAGTAGCCATATATGGGTGTGTAGGTTGGTCAATTGGCCCCTGGCCTTCCCAATGGTAGTTGGTAGGAATAGCCCATATATATACACCAATCCCACTATATAGACCCTAGGGGTCTATATGTGACTATATCACCTGACATGGGCGGACAACCCAGTATATAGGCCCTAGGGGTCTATATGTGACTATGTCATCTGACAGTCTCTATCATTTCGTAAGACCGACGGGTGTACTCAAAACTTTCAGTGAATTCTTGTCTAACTCTGGGGTACGGGGCCTTGAGTCGGCACTACGATGTGAAACTTGGGGAGACAACACTGAGAGAAGCTCTTCTGATTCCAAGGAGCTAGAATCAGATGTCTCTACTACCTAAGTCAGTAAATTTTAATGCTAATAGGGTTTCTTCTAATGCACTTGATCCTACTTGTAAACAGTCACCGTAAGTCAAAGCAGGAGATCGGCAGTCTCGTTCGCAGCCTCCTCCTCGTTCGCAGGAACACGTAGGAACACTTAGCTAGCCGATACGCTTTTAATCGCATGGAATACCTACATACTTTGGAGAATACTAGAGCTAAACTTAAGTCCCTAGTGTTTGTTGGATTGCCTCGCCGGACTGTTTGTTTACCCGAGTAGTTAAAGCGTGATCATAAACCAACAACTTAGAGCCATTATCGCTTGAATATAACCTCGCAGTGACCCTTTACACCTGATCATTCATAGCAGAGGCTAAATAGCAGCGTCAAAGTGCATGTTCAAAAAATAGGGTACTAACTACGCTATATATATAGTATCACGATCATCAATAACATGTGCATTTAAGACTGGATATGTCACCTAAGTAGCTGCTCTTCTGATCCTGATATCATGTATAAGTAAAGATTAATCTGGCAGAGATACAAGTAGCTTGTATCTCTTCAGACTGATGTAGCCGAATAATGAATTGCAATATACTAGCTTGGATATTATATTCTACACGTATATTGCTGGTTCCCTGTACAACAACCGCGAAAAGCCCGTATGATAGGTCTATAGAGTTAACTTGGTTAGCAAGCATGTCTATAAGTGGCATTGTCGAAGTCCTGAGATAACTACGGCCCCACTATCAAACACTGCGATGATCCTTGAAGGATAGTATTCAGACCAAATTGCCATCTAGAGACAAACAATTTTACTGAAGTAAAGCCTGAACTTTCGCGACTTCTATCCCTAGATATATATAATTACATAGCGTTGACTATAATAATAACATGTCATAAAGAGCTCATTATTACCACTTATATAAGTGTCGGACCGATAATCTTACTCCGTGTTTGGGCTCGGTCAACTACACTACCTCCGGAAACCTTAGAAAGTGGGCCGGCTACGATATACTACTAAGGCCCCGTCTTAGTTCAGTTTTAGGGCTGGGCCGTACATCGATCAATCGGCCTCGTGGCCCAATGGTAAGGCGTCTGACTACGAGAGAGACTCGCAAAACGAGTCCTTCACGGGAATCAGGAGATTCTGGGTTCGAGACCCAGCGAGGTCAACTTTTCTTTTGGCCAGCTTCATGACAATTCGACGTTCTGGACAAGATCAATTTTTTTGCCCTTTTTTGGATTTCTTTTGTGGTGCATGTGATAACTTACCCCATTCAGACCCATTGAAGGCTGACTTGCTTCCGTGACATTTGAAAGTGGAATAGCGGGGCGCTTATGCAGCCTTCACGTGATTGACGCATTTATACCTGATCAACCTGTCTAGTAGTAATCTTTATTGGTTGCATCAAGTCACATGATAGTTGCATTAAAAAACTGTAAGGAAGCAGCCTTAGACAGAATGGACTATCGTATCACGTGACCAATTTTGAGAGAATTAGTCTATGATATTTACCGTTTTGTAAAAAGTAGTAATGTTGTCTTTAAACACAGTACTATAGATGCGTTGGTGACATGGCATACTGAGGGGTTTGGTTTGTAGACGAATGCCCCCACATAGCCTTTAAACGACTATAATGACCTGTTGCTGGAGTGGACAATCAAGACAGACGCATGGAACCTTAACGATGTCCAGATATCAAGACATGAATGAAGAGACGAGCCCATGGGAGCTTCGTGTGTGGGTATTATACTATTATTAGATTAGTCATTTTAGTGTATCCGTCATCATTTCCTTGTCTTCCGCGCGTGCTTCACAAGGTTTTCTATGACACCCTCGAACGCCTCCCTGTCGCCGATTCTCTCATCTGTGCGCTTCTTCCAATATTCGTGCACCTCGTTTGCCAAGACCTCCATCTCTTTTAATTTCCTCACGTGCTGTTGAAGTTCAATGTCGGTCATTCCTCTCAGGGCCTCTTCTGTCGTGGCGCATAACTGTTTTGCTGCAACTAAATCGAATTCCGGGATTTGGTGAGGAGCCTTCCGCTTTTTCGAGCCAGACCTGGGTTTCTCCTTACCTTGGGAGTCAACCGAGATAGACGATCCGTTGGCATCTGATTTTCGTAGTCGAGACACGGAGCGTGAGTCTGTTGAAGTTCGAATTGAACCATTCGACGTGATTCGATGAAGAGATGGGAGGACTAATTTTTTTTGTTTGGATGCAGGTAGAATTTCGTCCAGGTCCACAGGCACCCCGAGTGATACTAAGAAAAGTCTCCTGATGCGAGAACGGATCCAGTCAGGAGGTTGAAGAGGAGGCGGTGCAGCTAACTGTGACCATAACGATGCGCTCCTCGGGTTGAAGAATATGGGGTTATCATTTGGAGGTGACGGTAAAGGAGGAATTTCGAGTACGTCAGGTGGGTATAATGCATCCAAGTAGGGGTCGGAGGCGGCCAAGATGTCTTCAGAGTCTAGCCCGTCGAGATCTAATATTGGCTTTGAACACGCAGGAGTCAGCATGGCTGTGATAAGGCTATCTGAGAAGGGCACTAGACATACAAAGGAAGGTATAGAGATTTGTGGCTGGTTTATCACCGATTGAGCAGCTGTGAGTTCATCGGCCTGCTGAAAGCCATCATCAAAATCGCCGAAATCAGCATCTTCGCCGCCCTCTTCGAATTCGTCAAAGTCGTCACCAAAATCGTCATCAGTGTCATTCGTTTCCTCGCCACGAAGACTCGTGATTGATTTGGCTGCTGAGGATTTTCTCCGTCTATGTGTGGATGGATGCTTCAATACTTGATTCACAGCCGTGTCATCTACGAAGGCACGGTCAATTGCAGTGTGGGTTTTAGGAGGACTTGGTTGCCGTACCGGTGTCTTGTGTGCTGGCGTCTAGCGAAGCAGGAATAGGGTTGGCCTCACCAGTGCCATCGGGTTTCCGAATGATATCTGGCGTGGCATCTGCTTGATGTAAGTGTTCATTGTGGTTGTGAGTCGAAGACCCAGGTGCGTCGTCAGTCTCGTCGACTACCGTTTTGGGAATGGCAGCGTCTTGGGGTGCAGCAGTATGGTTGGTTGAGGGAGGCGAAGACTGTTCGTCGTCTTGTACAATGGCTATTTCATCTGGGGAGGCGTCCTCTGTTCTTTTATCGTAAGCCTCCGTGCCGGGGACTTCTCCGTAGGAGGGCTGATCATCTACTTTCTCGACTCGGGTTCTAGGTATGGGGGAAACGGCCCGGGCATTATCTCTAGGGGATGACTGAGCATCGGAATAGTGCTCATCTGAATCAGAGGCTGCTGTGCCAACGTATGTTAGGGCGTGAGAGGAGGTCTTAGACGAGGGAAATGGGCTTACCCAATTCGTGCGCGCCAGGGTCTTCGGTCCCCGTCCTCTCGGGCGCTTCGAGGCTAGAGGACGATCTGCGCTCTCTGGACATGATGAGCGATGTAGTGCCAGATACCAAACCCGATATTGCACACTCGCGATGGAGAATCAATGAGTGGTCGGGATGCAGAATGGCATTGAGTTGGAAGGGTCAAATGCTCAGTGGTGGCGCCGTAAGATGGCTGAGGGGTAGAAGGAGCGGCTCAGCTAGCAGGATGGGAGGTGTTCGGATGGAGAGTAGGTAGTTTGGAAAGAGATGGGACGATTGCTGAGGGTTGCGGTGGATTGAAGCTTATGGTTTATGGAACTACCTAAATTAATAGGACTCTCAATCATGGAGGTATGTAGTCTGGTCCCTTGAGGCTAATACATGTAATGGGTACTCGGGATCGGGATTGTAGCTAGAGGATCGGAGACACTAGGTAGACGCCAACATTGAACCTGCTTGGAGGATGAAGCTGGAGCACGCCTACGCAGTACGTAGTAGTAGGTAGTGTAGGTGTAAGTATAGCCAGGTACGAGTCTACTACGGGAGAGACATCCATAGTTAATGGATCGACAGGCTTTACCTGGCAGTCTAGACCGCCCCGCCCGGATCAATTAGATGACTATACTGGAAACGTCTAAGCCGATCTCAACTATCACTGATCAGATGGGTTTTACCGTCCTGAATCGGAATGGGCCTGAGCCTAGCCTGAGCCTAGCCTGAGAAAGACCCGCTTTTGCATAAACTAAAACGAACGAGGACTTGCATAACTTCCGAGTTTCAATAACCGGCGTCGTGATATTACCGTAAATGCACTAAAGTAAGTCGAAAGTGACAGTTTTATTCCAAAACGGATTCAACAGGACCGTACGAGTGGAACTTCCTAGGAAGTTGCTCTACAATCGACAGAACGCTAAGGCAAGAAAGCGGAATATAAACATAGCAGCAAAGACAATTATAAGCAATCCAGCCCTTGCTTGCATTGAGTATATGCTAACATCGCACGAGATAGATGGCACAAAGAAAACGGTCCAACTCCAAATCTATGTCCGTCATAAAAACATAAAAACTCCGTCAAGAGCACACAGCAATCAATGACCATGGTCAACATCGCGACCACTCACGGCGAACTTATCAGCGTTCTCTTGGAGTTGTACACCCTCCTCACTGGTCTCGGCGCCGTCCCAGCTGAAAACTTGTATCTGCCTGACCCGAACACAGGCACTCATCCCACGGGCGCGCTCAACACAGCCGCCGCCGCCGCCGCTGGCTTCGCGCCCGAAGCAGTCCAGCTCATGAACGCGCTACCTTACCTGACTGCTGACCGACACGAGATGTATGTTGAGCTGCTGGGGAGCACGTATCCTGTTACGTACCTTGGCGAAGACCTAGACGAGGGCTACTTCCTCGGCTCCCGCGAGTTGTTGAACGATGTTGAGATGACGCCCACGGCTGTCCAGCTGACCTGGAGTGAGATCTACGGGACGGTATTCATCTACGATACAGCGACGAGTAAGTGGGTTAATCCTAATGTTTAGCAATGAGGGGGTTTTTTTCTTTCCCCTTTTTCCTTGTTATTTTTCTTCATGCGCTCGCTCCTTGTCTTACGCCCGTGTATTTCTTTCTTTCTAGAACTTCTCACGCCTTGGGTACCCTTCGAGAGCCCAGATGAAGTAGACGACTACTCTCACCTCGCCGGCGCGTCGCCCCGCGAGGTCTTATCACCAATCATCGATAACTACCGCAAGCTTAGATACCTTGCTAGCCCGATGGGCGTTGATTGGGCCGATCGCTTATACGCCGGCTCGGGGGGCGTGCGACCCGACGGCTGGGGTGCTCACGAGCAGGGAATGTGGGAGGCGTCGTACGCCGTCTGGGAGGCAACCATGAAGTTGAGAGACCTGTATCTCGAGTGTGGGTGGGACGTGGACGCCGTGGAACAGAGGAGTTTCAGTCTAGATGAATTCCTCGCCAGACGAGACGTCTATTGGAAGGATGTTGTAGAACCACTGCTTGAAGCTCAGGATCGTGCTAGGGAAGATACTTATCTGAGAGATCTTTAGTTACGTGTCGATGGGATGAGTGTGACCATTCAGTTCTACTTTTGTTCGGAAATTTCAAGTTCCATGCTTTTATTCATACAAGATGTTAGGCATCGATCACTCTAGGACTACATAATTTTCTTATGTGCCCTCTTTACGACGCGCTTCACCATGGTCACTGTCAGAGTCGTCGTGGTAGGCGCATCTGTCACGGTCGCTGGTACCACCGCCATTGTTGTCAGCTGCGAATCATAGTCTGCCGTCGGCTCGTTCGTCTCAGCTTGCTGCCGTCGCAACATTCCCAGTTCCTCACTGCAGTCCTTTGACTTTCATCGCTCATACCCCAATTCCGCTTCGATCTCCTCATCTATTGCGAGGCCTGTCGAATTGCCTTAATGTTTGAATGTATGGCAAGTCAGCTTAAGAAACCAAATAATATTACCCAGAGTATTTGCAAGAAATTGTTAATAAATGTAAATGAGCGGTATGGATGTAGTGTCTTCCATAATTTCTGCCTTCTCTATACCGTGGATATAAGCTAATAACTTGGAACTTCCTTAAGTGACTTCGGGATCGGGGTGCATAAAATATAAAACTGGTGGCACGGGTACAATTGGATTCAGTTGACGGCTAAAACCTAACCTTGAACGGTTCGAGGACCGTTTTGATCTACATAAATAATGCATAAATGTAGCTCCTCAGTCACCTGACTGACAATGGGGTGAGCCGAGCCTGAGCAAAATCGTGCACGGA